AGAGAGAGAGAGAGAGAGAGAGAGAGAGAGAGAGAGAGAGAGAGAAGACTCTCAGCTTTAAGTACATTTCACATAAATCACCAACAAAAAGACACTACATGTATCTTAACACAAATCACCAGAGGAAACCCGCTAAAGCGCCAGCTCCGCTCTCCCACCAACTTCATGCTCTTCCCAAAGGTGGCGGTAGAAATATCATTATCATCAATGCCCTTCACCCGTGGCAGGGTATCCCGGGTACTAATCCGTTTAGCGACGGATAATTTTTTACTCTAAAATGTCTCCTTTCACCTCCTTTCCTGCTTTCTTGCAATGTTCTGTCGTCTGCTTTCGTTCGTCTCCACTTTCTGCCCCCCCCCCCCCCTCATCTTCTTTGCCCCCTCCTCTGGGCTCCTGACTCATTCTGCAGCCTTTCTTCTGCTACTCTTTGGCCCCTCCTTACTGGTGTCTTTCTGCCACACCCCTGATCTTCTGGTAGAAAAGATATCTACACCTTGCCTTCTCGGACAAGGGCGAAAAATCTCGGAGCGCCTGTGTGCAAGTTGCGCACAAAAAAGATCCTTTGGTGGTCTAAAGTCGATAAGAATAGGCTTCGGCCGCCACCCGGGCAAAATTCAAAATTTCCTAGGAACTGAAAATGTTTGGTGTGTCCCGCGCGCTCAAATGACCGTACGCAGTTGCGAGCGCAGTAAAACACTTATAAAAAATTTTTTTTAAAGAGTATAGCCACATACAAGCCCCTTCCATTTATCTTTGTCCTGGGCTATCCTTCCAAGCTTGTTCCAAGTGAGCTTCATCTCTCAAGACTCTCATGTCCCTTTCCGCACATCTCCATGTTTCCCAAGGCCTAGCCCTACCTCGTGCTCCCTGTGGGTTCCACTGCAGCGACTGTCTTGTGGTGTTGTGAGGGTGGCGGTATAACGAGGTTTAACTGTAGGCTTTTCGTCTTAAATTTAGTTTAATTCTGGGAGGATTAGACCTAGATCTAGGATCTCAAGGCGCCGGTAGCCTAGTGGTTTACTGGTTTAGCTACCGGACTCGTAATCGTGAGATTGCGCGTTTGGGGGTTCGAGCCTCAGCTCGGTCCGACGTTGTGTCCTTGGGAAAGACACAGTATACGAATTTCCCATTTGGCTTGGTCCTTTCTGCAATGGGGTTCCCACATGAGGTTAATTCTGTTTATGTGCTTGTTGGTGTGTAAGTGTCCTGTGCAGGCTCAGAAGATCAATGTAGATCAATTCAATGACATAAATTAGGTCAAGTACCACCACCCCTACCCCCAAACAAAAACAGACGGACAAAACCACAACAACCCAACCAAAAAACAAAAAAAACTTTTACCCATAAAAATGATGCATGATGTCACAAACAAACAAATTAAAACAGCAAGAACAAAGGATGAACACAAAGAGTTTTAGTAAGAGTTTTACGGCACTTGCAACACAATAAGGTCGTTTAAGTGCCGAAGATTAGAGGTGTTACAAGAGAGTAACAAACACAAAAAAGGAGGGGAGATAAAGACGATAATTTTTCTATAGGAAAGAAGGAGCAAACCACATCAATCACCTACAACAAACACAAAGAACAACTCAGTCTGGCTGCAAATTTATAAATAGTTTAATTACCAAAAAAGCGTTGTTGTATAGTGGTCATCCGACAATTCACATCACCCCCCTTTACAACCTGTCACTCGTTCGCAAACCGACGGACCAGTCGAGGGAAAGTTTACGAGAAACAAAACAAAAAATAACGTTTGATTATTGGATTGAATGAAACGCTTAACTGGACACAGATTTGATTAATTTAAATCAGCAAACCATTACCCCTTACCCGCTCATTTTTTTTCTCCTTTTCCTTC